TGGGTGGGGGGGTGGAGGAAAATCAAGCTGAGGAGAAAATAATTACAGAGAGCAGACAATGAGCTGCAGCTCAGACATGTGCACTGGATATTTGCCATCACCGGGATGGATGGTCCTGTGCTCTCTGTCTGTCCTCTACCTTCTCAAGTTTGCTTTTTATTAGCTAATCCAATTTAATCCTCCTTGATTACCACCACGGAGGCCGCCTGAATGTTGAAGTCTTTTTTTGAGCTGTTTGTTCAGTGATGCTTTTAACTGATTTAAACACCTGAAAGGAGAATTTAAAGGCACGCGGCGTAGGCAGAGCTGGAATCAGACTTGGTACGACTCCTACTAACTTGGCAGAAGAACAGCAATCCCAAAATTGTGACAACTAAGGATCTAATTGTGAATAGATGTGAACAGGGTTACTTCTAATTATGTATCAGCCTTCACAAACTGTTTTGCAAATGGTCTGCAAATAATTAAGCGGTCATCTGGGATATTTGGATTCCTCTGCTCCCTACTCAACTCTTCAGCTTGCAGCAAAGGCCACGTACTTTGTAAAAAGGTATGGCGGGAACACAGGAAAGAGAGGCGGCAGCAGAGGAGAGGGAGACATTCTGTAGGAGGGGAAGGCAGCGGGGGTGGGAAAGTGTCAGACCTGAAGAGCTAAAAATCAAGCTGAGGCTTTGAATTCAATCAGATAGGGTGAAAGGCACTTGTGGGCAAATCCAAAGCTGATTACTAGAAAAATTAGCAGGTGGTTACAATATCACCATTATTTAAAGTTTGGGCTGAGCGGGGTCGCTCTGCACTGAACAGGTGTTAGGCGTGCCTCAGTTTCAGAAAGGGAATCGAAAGTGCCTGTTATCCCACATCTGCTACCAAGTAGTCTCTACCTTTGTTTTCCCACTCATTGTGTTTACAGTCTGTAATCTGTCAAGCTTTTTATCCGAATGTGCATAATATTTGGTGTGTTATGACTACAGGAAATTGAGGGCTTTGTGGTGTGCTCATGGATGTGTGCTGTTTTAGGGAGGAATACATAAACAGGAACTAGCCAGGGCTGTTAAAAAGCCTGCGGGGGTAAAAAGGAGGGTGGTTGTTTGAATGTGAAACTCCCAGCATTCACAACTAGTTCAAAATGACTGTTGTATAAAACCACTGTGCAGCTCAGTGAGCACATCTCTGACAGGCAGGAGGAAATGAAGCAGATAAACACTGCGAACAGAACAAATTGGCCTCCAGAACTGCAGTTTGTGCCTCATTCTGCAAACCGCAGGCATTTCTTCGAAGATCGGAGTTTGTGAGAATTAAAACATGCAGCATCACTTGGTATGTGGCCCTAACCAGAAGCAGTCTTTACAGCAGCTGCACAGCTGTGCCTCCTTGTTTCTGAGTCAAGGGTGGAAAACAGCACCTTTGGGCAATATAAGTAGCTGAGATTTATATTGCGAAGCGGCTTAAAAAATACTTTTCAGTTTTCTTTTGTTCGGATGATTTCTTGCTTGAGTATAGCACGTTACTGCTGACTGTTGGTCAACGTTTACATTCAAGGCTTTGTGTTAGACAGGATTTATGAAGGAAAGCTTCTTAGGTTTTGGGCAACTGCTCTTTTTGCAACAAGACTTCCGGCTCTCTAAAAGTCTATGCAAAACGAACCTTGTCCAGTGACCACCAAACGTTGTCCCAATAGACTCAGTCACTACTTCCAGGTCAAAGTTCATAATTTCATATTGCAAATGAAGGTTACTATTAGAGCGAGAAAGCATGGTCATCCAGGATGTGCTTATTGGCTAATGACTATCACTTATCAGTAGTGAAAAGATAGTGACAGCAAAAACACCCAGGTTGAGGCTTTTATGCACTAACCAGAGGGTGTTATCATTGTGACTACACCCATGTTTTACATCTTTTAATCTAGGGTTTAACTTTAACCTCATGTAAAAAATACAGAAAGCCTTAACCACAAACGTATTTTTCTGCTCTAGAAGGTAAATATAGTATGTAACAGCTTGCAGCTGCATAGCCTTGAGTAAAGATGGACAGTATTGCCTGGCAAACGGGGGATTACATGATTGTGTGTTGCATAAAGGGAAAACACAATCACACAACTAACTGGCTTTAGAGGTTCTCGTCTGTTAAGATAGCTCTTTGTTTTATTTTATTCTTTATGCTAAGCTAAGTAGTTTCTTGGCGCCGCTTCACACAAAGTTTTTCTTACATAAAAGTCTGACAAAAGTGCAAATGTGCCAGTTTCGCTCTGTTTAGAAGACTCACAACTCTGATCAGGAAAAAAAGGCTAGCCTGGCTGCATTCAAGGTCATAAAATCTGCTAAGTTAAACCCTTGTGAGCTAACTATAGGTAGCAATATCCTCATATTAACTGTGGAGACATGCAAATAGAGTAAATTCCTCTTGGCAAATATATGAATGAATGTATTTCCCCTTTAATTTAAAATTTGGCCATTGGAGATGGAACACTTTGCAACAACAGGAAGTGATATCCCTGACTTCAGCAGAACACTAGAACACGAACCCTGACCGAGGCATGCTTTGAAGTTAATAGACAGCTGGCAGGAATCAAACCCAAATGCAGAATTCCATAAAATGATGTATCACATTGGGCCTTTCACACAATACGCCATGTGGCCTCATCTTTTACTCATCACGCAGTGAGGTTTGAAAAGGAAGTTTTGTGTGTCAGAGAGATAAATGACAGAGTGAGGAAAAACTCTAGCATATAGAGGAAATATGTGTGAAAAAAATTATTCATAGCACTTACTCAAGCCGCTCTGTACAAGTGTGTTTGTAATAAGGTAGCAAAAAAAGAGAAAAGTGTGGACAAACAGAAGAAGTTGCCACATCTCACATACACATAGCAGCACACCCTTCCGGTATTTGTTGTGAAGCAAACTTTCACATCTGGTAAAGGACCCATATTTGAGCAGGAAGCTTGAACACAAAGCAGTGAAAACAATCTGACACAATGATGCATTGTCGCATTTGGGGGGGTGGTGGCAGGAGGCATACATTATAACACA